GTCGCAGCTTTCAGGTCTTCGTTTATAAAACATCGACTCGTTGTAGTTTTGTCCGTGTTTGAGGTTTGCTCCCCTCGCCTTCTCGCAGTTCCCGACGTGAGGCTGGAAGATTCAGCCGGGGCGTCCGTGGCACTGCTGCAGAGCTGTGATTGGTCCATATCAGGAACACAGCCTGTAGTTAGAAGATGGACGGCGCTCTGGGAACGAGTCGTGTTCGGAGCACTTGTGAGGAACTCTGAATTGTTCGTCTCGTTCGCGGCGTTCTCGTCTCGTTGGCCCGTCTCTGAGCTCCGCCGGTACCTTTGAAATGGCTTCGAACCCTCTGCTGATTCCTTCAGCTTCTCCTCGTCAACCCGCTGACGGCTGCAGGAATCATTTTTCCAGGTGTAGCTGCAGCGTGATTCAGATTAGGAGGAGGTGGATGGAGGCTGAACAAAGCCCTCGGGTCTTCTCTGGTTGAGGTTCAGGAAACCGTTTGGTTCAGTGTAAATAAATCGTTTGTGGGTTTTCCTGAGCCTGGACCGGGAGCCGCATGCAGGTGACCGCCGGGCGGCAGGTGACCGCCGGGCGGCAGGATTTGGATCTCCGTGCAGAGAAATCGCTGCTCCGCCTGCTAACGTTTCTCGTCTCTGCTCCCGCGGCGCCGACTCCTATTTATCTCCCACATATCCCGTAACACTCCGTGTATTTCTGCACCGTGCAACGTGAAGCAGCGTAGGATGACTTTGTGAGCGTCGCGGCCGCTTTCAGCTCTTCGTCTGTGTAAATAAATGTTCGCATTAACCTCGAGAAGCCATATCGTAGTTGGGCTGGACGCCTAGCTAGCGCTCGCTGCGTTTCAGAGCACTTTGGTTTAGATATTTTAGATATTTTAGACGCAGAGGTCGAGCCTCCTCAGAGAGGCGGCGCCATTAATTTATTCGTCTCTCGAAGGACGACAAACTAGTTCCTGTGAAAACTTGCTTTGTTTTTGGGCTTTGCTGCGGCCTGAATGTTCGCCGCCGGCTCGCCGATCTGTACATACGCTGTCACTTCCTGTGAGGTTTGGTATTAGTGAAACGCAAACAACTTGTTTGTATCATCCTGAAGGCTTCGAGGCAAAAATAAAGAGATTTTCAAAAGAAAACGTCGACGTTGAGTTTTTATTCAAAGCATCGTGAAGTCACGGCTCCTCTGACGCTGC